ATATATATATATATATATATATATATATATATATATATAGAATCCAGATCAGGTGAGGACCTAATCTTAGGTGAGGACGTGAGGATTAATCTTGTGCGTTTGTTTTTTATTTGGATGGTCCAGATTTGAGTTCTTGAGATGACATGGATTGATCTTTTTTGTTAAAGTGGGATAATAGTGTCTTTTTCTATTTTTTTAAGTGTGAACGCATGTATAATGCTTGGCCAAATTGGTTTCCTATTTTCTTGGATCATCACCGTTGCAATTTGGAGCCGCGATTTCTTCATCATTGATTGAGTGTTCGCCCATGCAAACTAATCAGTATTTTTTATTTTTTTTCGCTTGTTCTTTTGAGTATAATATTGTCTATATTTGGATTGTCGTGTATATGTATAAATGCCTGGGTAGTACGATTGTGCATTCGTGTGTGCTGATTGTGCAACCTAGTGTTGTAAGTTGTGCACTATAGGCTAGGGAGTTGTGCATTATAGCACATAGTTCAATGCATCGTAGAACATTGGATGTTCACTGTGTGACTTTTTGGCGGGGTTTGAATGCACAACAATGAAGTTATTGATGCACAACACTCAGTATAGAAATGCACAACATTTGTATAGGAATGCACATCTTTTAATAAGACTGATATACCCTAAATTTATATATTTTAATATTTTAAAGGGATTTGTTTTCTTAATCCGTGTGATTTGTTTCTTTTAATCTCAATCATACATCATTCTGATTTAATGGTCTAGATTAGTCCTCACGTCCTCACCTAAGATTAGGTCCTCACCTGATCCGGACCCTATATATATATATATATATATATATATATATATATATATATATATATATATATATATATATATATATATATATATATATATAATAATTATTCCATGTATGTAAGGTATCACATCACTTCTATAATAAAGAATAGTTTTCAATAGTTCGAATTATCGTGCTAGCCCTTTTAATTTCGGGCTAGCCCTATCTGGCCATCGGGCTTATCGATTTCGGGCTCATCGAGCTAATGCTTTTTATAGGGCTAGCTCCTTCGCGCCATAGTCCTATTGGTTTCAATTTTATCGAGTCGGCTCATCGAGTTCGGGCTAAACTAACATACCTAATTAATACAAGAATTGTCACCGCGACATATATTTCTTGTGTTTTCCTACTTTATTATTTATTCTTTATTTATCGGATTTAGTAATTCGGGCTAGCCTGTGTTAATTAGATCCATCAATATATATATATATATATATATATATATATATATATATATATATATATATATATATATATATATATATATACATATATATATATATATATATATATATATATATATATATATATATATATATAGAATTAGGTTCTGGTGCGGTTAGGGTGCCCAGGTGCGGTTGTGGGGTTTAATCTGGGCCATTCATCTCGCTTAAATCAACGTCCAGGATTGCCAAAATTTTTAAAAAAAAATGCGGTGGCAATTTTGTAATTTTTGCATCTAGGTCAAAATTAAGGTGAGCGGATCTGTGATTAATGTGCGTGAGTTTTGTATATAAGATGTGTGAGGTTTGTGCGTAAGGTGCGTGAGTTTTGTGTTTAATGTGCGTGCGGTTGTACTTAATGTGAGTAATTGTTAAAACTTAAAGTGTGGACTTTTGTGCTTAAGGTGCGTGAGATTTGTTCTTAATGTGAGTGTAGTTTGTGTTTAATGTGCGTAGGGTTTGTGCTTAATGTGTGTGAGGTTAGTGATTAATGTCAGTAGTTGTTGAAACTTAAGGTCTGTGAGTTAATACTTAAAGTGCGTAGGGTTTGTGCTTAATGTGCGTGAGGTTGTGCTTAATGTGTGTGGGTTTTGTACTTAATGTGCGTGAGTTTGTTCTTAATGTCAGTAGTTGTTGAAACTTAAAGTCTGTGAGTTAATATTTAAAGTGCGTGGGTTTTGTGCTTAATGTGCGTGAGGTTGTGTTTAATGTGTGTGGGTTTTGTACTTAATGTGCGTGAGTTTGTGCTTTAGATCTAACACTTAAGGTGCGTGTTTCTATCACTTAAGGTGCGCCATTTTTAGCTTATGCTTCTTTATTCCAGACACGCGCGCGTTTTTTTTTTTTAAATCTTCATTGATTTGAGCCGCTCAAATCTAACCGCACAACCGCACGGGGAGCTATACCTGCACCTGAACCCTTCCATATATATATATATATATATATATATATATATATATATATATATATATATATATATATATATATATATATATATATATATATATATATATATATATATATATATATATATATATATATAGTTGAGTTCAAATGTGAACCACTATATTATAGAGGACTGTGCGGACTGGTGTAGTCGTGTGCCATTAGTCTGTATGTCGTGTGCTTAGCCTAATGTAGTTGTGTGCCACAGTTTATATATCGTGTGCATATGTTTGTTAATTAATAGAGCCTGAGTTCGAAACTTGATGTTTACATGTATTCTTGTGTACCATTTTGTATTAAATTGTGTGCATGATACAAATATGCACCATCAACGTTAGGAAATACACCACACAAAACAGAGTAAACAGAGCCCTGCATCACCAAACACACACCATTAGGTTTGAGTAAAAACACCATACACTGTTCGGAAATACACCATTGGGGGTGGTGAGTTATATGGTGTGTTTTTTTGAGTCTGTGGTGTATTTTGTGATGTTTTATTGCATTTCATTGGGGTGTTTTTATTACACTGTTGGTGCATATTGTTAACACTGTTGGTGTATTCTGGAATTTGACCGCACCGTAAGACCCCGCCGCATATGAGCGCTCTTCTATATATATATATATATATATATATATATATATATATATATATTGCATTCACATGCAAACACCCTTAAAATACAAACATGTGGACAAATTCCAGTCATAGGATGTGTATAGATGGACGGATTAGATGTGGGGTAAGAAATTAATTACAGATTCTGATTTTGTGTAAAAAAAGGGCAATTATGACAATGCAAGTATAATATAATTAAGTAACAAATCCCATATCAATATTCCGCTGACTTAAGGCATCCTAAGTATGGTAGGAGTTGTCTACCTTCATCACAACGCGATGGCCTCGCCAATTCCGCATTCGCACACACCCAGCCGGCGCCACGAGATGGATGTGAACCAAGACCACACCGAACCTGTAATCCCTGGCCAGACGGAGGCTGCAACCTTAGATAATCGGAAGCGAACCCAGACAATACGACATGATTTTTGAATGTCTTTAAATTTGGGTTTTGGGTTAAAAATTCGTGCATATTTGATTGCATGGGAACTGGTACCGTAGTTGTATGAACTGGAAAACAAAACAGTTCATGGAATTTACGACGCAGTGTGTAAGGTGTGTGAATGATATTAATTACCATGCACACATCGTTGTGCCACTGCGCATACTTAAACCGAGTTCTCGCGTATGTTACATACCCGGAATAAACATATCTGCACTTTTTGTGAATAAATTTTAGAGTGTACAATCTGACACGAAATATATGCAATGCTTGCAGAGACGTGAACCGAACATTGTGTAGCGGCGAGAAGAAAAGGAAGCCAAGGAAGCCAATTCTACAGACATGGAGATGCCTCACTCAGGTAATGAATACAACCAATTGATCACCATTATGGGACGACGTAGGTGTGAATTCGTAGGAAATTTATTTAGCACTTTTGATATTTTGATGGTGGGGGGAAATCTTTGGAGTTGATATTGTATGCATTATTATGAGTAGAAAAGGTATGGATATGGTAACTTTGGAAGCCATGGTTGATCGGAACATGTGGTGGATTAAGGGAATTTACAGAATCATAGAATAATATCCGTGCACACACAAGTTGTAGTCTGTGCACCATTGTGCGCCTACGTTAGTTTGTTTGCGCAATTGGGATATACACTTTTTTTTTTTTTTTTTTTTTTTTTTTGTAATTGAAATGGGTGGTATGTGGACTTACGTCCAAACATTTAATGTTGCTGTTACACACGAGGAGCAATCTGGAGGAGAACTACAAGAATGTGCAATGGACATATCCCCCAACGGAACAAAATACCGGTGCCCTGCCGAGAAAAATACACCATATGTTGGGTAACGATTTGAAACAGTAGAACAAGGAATTGAATTCTACCGGGCATACGCTACCATGGTTGGCTTTGATGTCAGAAAAAACACAATGCAGAAAACTAGAGACGGAGAAGTAGGGATCAAATACATGCATGGTAGGCTCACGTGAAGGTTACAAGCCAAGTAGGAAGGAAAACAACATCAACACTGATATAGCAAACATCACACTCAATTGTCCGGACAAATTAGTATTTGTTTAGTATATTTCTGTTATCATGATTTGGAAGATATGTTCTTTTTTTTTTTTTTCTTTTTTTTTTTTTTTATTCATTTCATTCAAAAGTATTTACAATGAACCTAGTTGAGATGTTTGAATATTAATTACATTATGATTAGGTGGAATGTGTGAATTTAGAAATTAAAAAAAGGAAGCAAGTTCCCCCGGGTGCATAGTAATAATGGTAATTAATGGAGTACAGACATGTATGAAGACGTATACTGGTGCACACAAATAGCATTGTGTGTGCACGCAGTGGTAATGGGGAAATAGGTTTGAGCATGCGTGGGTGCATGCCTAACTCTTGGAACTTGGAAGGGAAATTAAATTATGGCAAAATAGTTACGAGCATGCGTGGTTTATGTGGGTGCATGCCTAAGTCTTGGAACTTGGAAGGTTAATTAAACTATGGCAAAATAGTTACGCGTACTGTGGGTGTCAGAGTGCACACTAGCTAACACATGAACGCACACATTTGCACAGTTAAATTAACCTGTATGCATGCGGCGTAGAATCCCCACACAATAGCAAAGCTGGTGCACAGGTCTCCGAACTACAGACAACAACTAAGTACCGTTACAACTAGGTGCAAACTATGTTGAATATTAACTTCAAAAACAAACATAAACCAATTTTAAATGTGCCAACTTTGAGATAGCGAAAACCATAATACACACTGGGTAGCGATCAAAATATTCCCAGGGGACAAAGTAACAGACGATAGGTATATACAAAGTGTCAACAAGGACAAAAAACGTACAGAAGACCCATGGGGCAAAAAACTTAAGATTAATAGTTTAAACAGTAGCAAGTCTAATCATATCCTAAACAGTGGGAAGTGCACCCCTAAATGGAAGGCAGAAGGTCCAAAATATGTTGGTACACCCGAGCTAAATTTGTTGATCTATCCGCATTGTATTCAAAGGCCAATATCCTTCTTGTATTGAGGCCTTAGTTTGTGAAGCTTAATAGTGTCTCTTTTGACCTCTTACCTGCAACAACCACATAACACAAAAGAAATCACAAACTTTCCCTCCAATAATAAAACAGAACAACACCCAAATACATAATGGTACATTAAAATACTGAGGTGCTCACACTACAACACATTCATGCACAGACATATGAGATACACAGATATTGACTCACAAAAATAACACAATCATTACACACAGCAACCCATCAAACCAAACACTCTTAGTATCTATTCTGACTACGCCAAGCATACACGAGTCTGTCGTGCAAACACCCCATCACAGTCACGCACACACCTATTGTATTTACCCGTTTAGAGTACACAAAAATTGCACACGCCAACTCAGAATCCTCTTCATACGACACCTCACCACCAGAGTCCTCTTCACACACTCATAACTAGTAGCCCGTAATTAAGTTTTAATTACATGAAATCAGTAATATGAAGTCAGAACAATAATATGAAGTCAATAGCACAATACAATAGTATGAAGTCAGAACGAAAGGCACACAACCAAATTAACCAAATTAAAGGTATAAAATCCAAGCACACAACCATGGAAAACAATGAACACACCTCTTGTGACTAACATACTTTGATTAAGTAACCAAAAACAGAACAGCATAAATTGATTGACTAATAAAAAATAGAACACAATGTATATTAAACACAAAACTGATAAAATAAAAGTAAAGACACCAACTCTGACCCCCAAAATGACAAGAATAAAGATGAAGATACCCACATGTATGCCCACAATTCATGACCACAAGCAAAAACCCCCCACGGCAGTACCATGAAAAAAAATGAATCTCTGAGCAGAATACCGACAGCAACGACTGAAGATGAATGAACAAAGCAAATGACACAACACAATCCCTCAACGGGTTTACAATTACAAAATAAAAAATAAAAACAATAACCACTACGCAGCATTGATCGGAATCAGTCATCCCACTAGCCCACCCCCGTCGTCGGACCAAGAAATCACACCCAAATAACAATAATCAACACAAAACCTGGGTTTAAAGTAAAATAAAAAAAATAAAAAAAAAAAAACAAAAAAACAAAAACCCTACAAAGAAATTCCGGCCAAAATCCGGAACCCACCACCCCAAAAAACGACTAAGATGCCAACAAACAAGCAAACCCCCAATGAAGACGACAAACAAAGCACAAAACACAAGAACCCCCAAAAAAATTACAACCGTCGATAATAGAAGAAGAACATACTACGGCCGACACTTCGAACCGGCCGACGACCATTGTTAGGAAGTGAAGAACGAAGGAGGAAAGCAGCCAAGCCGATGCGATTTGCAGATACCGTCTACACACCTGCGAACAGAGAGGAGCGATAGAACGAATGGAGAATAATTCACCAGGCGCGTCAGTGAAAGACTAATCTGACTAGGTTACTACTCTAGTCAAATACCACAATTACCCCTCTAAACATAAAAACTTAAGAAAATAACATTATAGGCGCACGGACAGATTGCGCAAATCATAGCCATCCAAACTAAAAATTCAACGGTCCCAATTAATCCGCATATTTGTATTTTAAGGGGTGTTTTTACTTGAATGTAATTCTATATATATATATATATATATATATATATATATATATATATTTATTTATTTATTTATTTATTTATTTATTTATTTGTTTGTTTGTTTGTTTGTTTGTTTGTTTGTTTGTTTATTTATTATTATTATTATTTTTTGAGTTGGTGTGGCCGAGTGGGTGGGGTGGTGGGGGAGGTAAACTTTTTAAACCAAAATTGTGATTATCATCATGCAAAATATTTATACAAATCATTTGTAAAAGGACATATTATTTATTTTTGTATTATATCCATTTCATTTTGTTTTTTTTGAATGCTACTAGCTCTATTAGACTGTAGTATCTGTTCATATACTTTCCCAACCTACTGAAACACAAAGAGCTAATAACGCATCCACTGAGGCTCGAACTTACAACCTTCCAAATAAAAATCTAACCCGAGTACCATTAGACCACATAGTCTTGGTATATCCATTTCATTTTATATGTTCTTCATGAATAATGACACATAACTCAAATTATTTACAATTTAATTTTGTAATATTTCATTATGTTATTAGATAAATTTATCCATATAAAAATCATATTAACAGTTATATTTATTAAAAATAGCAAAAATTTGTGGATAATGTTTTTGAAAATAAAGAAAGAAAAGTTAGACTGAGCATCAAATATGAATAGGAGTTATAAAATGAGGAGTATGAATTAATTGTAATTGATATAATATTGCCAAGCACCTTGTGCTCAGATGGCATGTACTGACCTCTCCCATATTAGATTGAGAAAGTATGTTTAAACAAATACTACAATGTACTAGACTCAGTATCATTCAAAAAAAAATGGGTATATTATTTATCATTAAAAATAGTTTTTTCTTTTAAAAAATACAACATTACTAATGTGAAAACAAATAGACAATAATGCAACTATTATATTATTATAAGTAATTTAACCTTTTAATTTAATCTGAAATGCTAAATATCTAATATTTTTTCAATTAAGTTTAAATAAAAAATAAATTTATATTTATGTGTAATTTAAATTCTAATACAACTGCCACGGACTTTGTGGTCCACTAACACTAAGTTGTTCTCCTATGTTGGAGGTTGTGGGTTCGAGCTTCCTAACTTTTTTCCATCTTTTATTCATATTATTTTAAACTAGTTTTTTTTTTGCGCTTTGCGCGAATGAAATAATGCCCAATAGTTATTTTTAAATAAGTATTTCAAAATATATCAATGCAATATTATATAGAAGATGTTAATGCATAGGTAACTAAATGTTGAATTTGTTTATTTAAATCGATAATTTAAAGTATATAAATGCAATATAATATATGAGAGATTGATTATATATAATTGTCACAAAAATAAATATTTGCAACTTTGTACTAACGCTAGTCTAAGTATTTAGTCTAAAAACGATAGTCTAAATAAATACTACTTTTGGTTTAAATTTCTCTAATTCTTTTTTGGGTAGCATTGTCATTGTCTTCATCTTCCGTACATGTCCTTTTTTTTTTTTTTGGTAGTGTGTCATGTGCAATTGGGTTATTGGTGGTAGCATAGAGGGATTTATCATTCAATTCAGAATGAGATTATGGTGTAGGAAGCTTTAGGGGTCGTTTACTTCATTTCTCCGTTTTTCCATTTTCATTTTTCCATTTTTTCATTTCTCCAGTTTTCTATTTCTATTTCTCCATTTCTTCAGTTTTCTAGTTCTCCAGTTTTTTAATTTTCATTCCCTATTTCTAGTTTTTCATTTCTATTCTAATAATAATAATAATAATAATAATAATAATAATAATAATAATAATAATAATAATAATAATAATAATAATAATTAATAATAATAATAATAATAATAATTTCAATACACCAATAAAAACCTTACACTAAATAAATTATAAATGATTACAAAATAACATACGCTATAATAACATGTATAAAAGTACAAATGTGATTTTTTGTGCAAATATAATTACTCACGTAATTTTATAAATCCAACCAAATAATATAATAACATGTAACGTTTATCCGTTACTATTATTATAACATTAGGATAAGTTATGATAATATTCAGTATTTGATATGTGGTGCAACACTAATAACCTAATATCTAGACTACCATTATGATTAGGAGTCTAGTTAGGGTTTAGGAGACCTAAAGACAATCAACCACAATGATGGCCAGTGGTTATATAGGGTCACTAGTCCTCTCACTGCTCACAATACATACCTCATACACCATCTAGAGAGAGCTGAGTAAAGTGAGAGACAAAATACTCGTTATCTCTGCAGCAGTCCGGATCGCTCAACCGTACCAAGAACCATGGCTGGAGGTTAGTCGATCCTGTTATCACATATTATATGATGCATGTGATATTTTAGTCTAACAGTTGATATCAGTCGCCATAAATAATCTCTGCCTAGTTCGTTTAATTGCATATAATATTTGCATATGTTGTATACATATTTAATTTGTATAATTCAATTACATATGGTGAATATTCTTTGGTTCGCAATTAAATTGTCTGGACTGCTGGAAATTTTGGTTTATTCCGCATTAAGAAAGAAAAAAAAAATTAAAATTGGATATTAAGCTATCTACTGCTTCGCCATTTTTTTTCTCGCCCGGAATTTGCTCGCCGGTGGTGTTTGGAGCTTGACCTCCAGTTTGTCTCGCCGGCAGCTGTTCCGGTGGTGGAGACGAATCAACGGCGACGGTGGTGGATGGTTCGCACTGTGGCAGGCGGAATGCGGCGGACATCGGCGTTGCATGGAGGCCAGTTGGCGGTGGCGGCGGGCTGGGTTTTCCAGCGACGAGGCTGCTTTCTGCTTTCCGATTGGCGACGCCGGCGACCTTTTGGCTGTTGTTCGTCCTCCATGGTTGCTGTTCGCCGATGATGTAGCGCCGCAGGTCTCCTGGTCTGCTTCTGTTTGCGCTGCTTCTACGTTAGTGAATTAGGGAAGATGATGAAGATTAAGGTATTGGGCCGGGTTTGGCCCAATTGGGCCAAACCTGGGCTCATATTAAAAAAAAAAAAAAATTTGGCCTGTTATGGTTTTGGGTCAAACCTGAATTGATATTTGGACTACATCAATTCATTCAGATTAACATCTTCATCATATTTGGACTTCTTCTAATTAAATTATCCAATTGAAATTTTTTTTATTAAGTTTATTATTAAATTATTGTTCAACTTTGAATAATTATTCAGTTTTAATTTTTCAGTTGAATTTTAATTTAATAATGTTTCAGATTAAATTGTATTAAGTGTTGCAGTTTAATTGTGGAGTATTTTGTGAATAATATGCATAATCGGAGCATTGCTATTTATCTCTTTATTGCAATAATTATTTGACTGTTATAATTATGCTGTAGAAACACATGTTCATTAAGAAAAATTTAGAGCCTTTTAGGTCTGAATTATATGCTATGCATGATTTAGTGCCTTTTAGGTGAATTAGTGACTTTCAGGTTAGATTATGCATATTATTACTCAATCTTCAGTTATTACTCCGCTCGTGTTTTATAAAGTTCCTAAAGCACATAAAGTACATAAACAATTTGTAGTTTACCCTATTCAAAGCCTTATCCATAGGTGAAACTACTCTCTAGATCTCTCAAACGATTTTACTTCAAAAATGAGAACACATGAATTAGGGAAGTTTCTTGGGGAGGAATACTAGTTCTATGGCCCTGGCTTAAAAGCCTTGTTGCTACTAGTCCCCTTGCGACGCTACTCTGTCTAAGGAGTTGGTTTTTAACCGAGTTTCGTCTCGACCAACTTTCCTGGGAGTATACCTAAGGATTGTCTATCATATTTTGGTTTAATCTGTTTGTTTATTAGGTTTTCTTGCTAATGTGATTATGTTCTTTGGTTAACTAAAGAGTAGCCACAGCATCTTTAATTTTTTCCAAAATTACATATTAAGTTTTACTCACATAAAGTTAATGCAAGAATATTGTAATTCACTCTGCGTGATATGGCAAAATTTAGCCCACAGGCAATTTTGTTATATTTGTAGGGTTAATTAGGATGAAATATCATGCTATGATCATAATTTTCCCACAGGGATTATGTATCGGCATATAGTTTTGGTAGTTTTGTCATTAAGGGTGAAAAAATTAAAATCGCACCCATTCCGTTTCCACCATTCAGTTTTGGGAAATTCATTATGCGTAAAAATTTAGCCCACAGGCAATTTTTATGGCATCCGAATTTATCTTTTGCATAATTTTACATTGGTAATATTATGTACTTCAGTATCTCTCTCTATTTTTTGTGCCTCGAAAAATTCTAACCAAGCTTTCAATTTTCTTTTTACAGTCACTCTTCCAATCACTCAATCAATAACAATTGATATTCCTATCCTCAATTATGATAATCACAAAGAGTGGAAAGACGCTGTCCTATTGAATTTAGGAATATTAGGGTTTGATTATGCTCTTCGCATTGAGAAGCCTGCTGAGCTTACTGCGGAAAGCACTGAAGAACAAAAAACGCTATACGAGCGATGGGCAACAGCCAATCGCTTAGGCGTATTCCTCATTAAGTCTAAAATTGCCAGAGAGATTCGTGGTCCCGTCGATGATATTGCGGACAATGAGCCATTACTCAAGGCCATCGATGATCAATTTGTTGACGCGAACAAATCTCTGGCAAGTACCCTGATAATGCAGTTTATCAATATGCGTCTTTCCACTGTCAAGGGAACGCGAAAACACATCCTACAGCTCAGGGACATTGCGGCTCAATTGAAGAAGTTGAAGATTATTCTTCCAGATGCCTTTGTGGTGCACTTTGCACTAAATACACTATCTCAG